GTGTATATTATATACCAGATTCCATATGGACCGATGAATAATTGATTTATAAATTATATCCAAATTATTTTGTAGTAATATATGAAAAACAAAAATAACAAAAAATCAAAACCATTATATCATAAAATAATACAATAATTATTTATTACATGGAAAAAAGAAAGTTGCTAATCTAAAATAAATATCTGCAATAAACATATATCAACCTACTAGTGTTGTTGTTTTGTAAAGACATTAATAAAATCCAATGCCGTTTGAAGTTGTTTTTAAAGATGCCCGACCCTTGCGTTGTTTTCTTCTTGTTGGGCGTTCATCATTTCTTTAAGCTCTTCATTTTGCTGTTTTTATTTAGCAACAAGCTCCCTCATTTCTTTTATTTCATCATTTTTTTTTCCGGAATGTAAGATACATCCGTTTTACTGCTCCTATTGGGAACCGCCTTTGCAAAAGAGCCTAATCCATAAAGTCTTTTTTTATCATGACCACCACCAACAACATAAAATATCTTTTCCTCCTCAATTCAACACCTTCAGCTTCCAACTCTTCCTGTTTTTCTGTATAGGCCGCCTACAAAATAAAAATAATATAAGTTAAAAGATATCAAATTTAGAATGATATTATGAACTAGCTACAATATAAAAGTTTAACAATGAAATGAATATTACATGAATTTGTCTATCTTTTTCATTTGTAAAAGTGACTCCATCTTGATTCTTTGTGTGTGTATACAGGAACAATTCACTATGGGGTAGGTCACGTCCTAATTTCCTCTTCTGCATAGATACTATATAAAATGTCAAATATACAGTTAAACATATATAAACATTGATACGATGTACCATTAAAAAATTACCAATCAGAAACTATCTTCAAATGACTTGTGGATCCAGCGTTATGTGTAGGTTTTGCTACTCCATCAGCCACACCGTTACGCCTATTTTTCTTGTTCTGCTCAGATTTTAGCTTGTATTCATCTGTATTCCATTTTAGTTGCCAGGAGTTCCAGACTCCTGTGGAATATGAGCTGGTTTAAATCCATGTTTGTTTCTTTTTGTGCTCCGCATGTTAAATAGATATTGACCATAACTTTATGCTGCTTTCCTTGCCCAAGCTTGGCTTACCAGCGAGTCTACTGTTTCATTCCAACAACATTTTTTCTACACATTAACAATATAAACATAAGTTTAACTGTAAATGTTTACCAAACAACAATATATCACATTTAGTTAATCACCTGAAACTCATCCCAATATAATTCGCGCATTTCTTTGCTTACTTTTACCCAAGCGTACCCTAATGGATCTACTCTTTGTAAAAAGGACCGACTAATAATGTGTGCACAAGGGTTTGGTGGCATTAGCCTGCAAGTAATCATGTGATGTGTTAAGTTATGAGTTGATATGTACGTGTAAACCAAAAGGTTATACATACGAATAGTTATAATTAAGATTTGATTGGTAACTCATGTTTTTTTTTCCAAACATGAACAATTAAATGTCCATCTAGTCCACAATCCTCAGAGGAATTGTTTTCACCTTCTACACTTTCCACTACAGATCCATTCATGGTTAGTTGTGTTGGTGATGGGGTAGATTCTGGGATAAGTGGTGTTGATGGGGGTATATTTTGGGGTATGTGTTGGGATAGATGTATATGTTGATGATGTGGTAGTTCCTTTACTTAAGAAGGGTGTGGTAGTTACTGTAGTTGGGGAGGATGGTAGTGTAGATGCAAGTTTTGAGGTTGTGGTAGTAGATATAGGTGTTGATGATGTGGTAGTGGGTATCGGTGTTGAGGATGGTTTAAATGATGAAGGTGCTGAAGTTTTGGTTATTGATGTAAGTGTTGAGGATTGTATTGTTCCATTTTCTGAAGTTTTAGATGTATTTTGTAAAGACGGTGTGGATGTTGTAAGTGATGCCGAGGAAGTGGTAGTCATGGTTGATGTTAATGATATAGGTTTAGGAGTTTTGTTGGTAGATGTTATAGGTGCTTTGGATATGGTTGTTGGTATTGGGAAGTCGATTTATTCATCTTGTAATTGTCTTTTTTATGAATTTTGCAGCTGAAATCCTGTTGCGTTTCATAACCTGTGGTGTAATGAATTTAGTAGGCTTCACACCGGATGCTTCTTTTGCTTTCAAGTTCTACATCTTTCTTGCTTAAAAATTAAAAAAAAAAAACTGTATTCAATACCAATGTATTAAAGATGATAAACTGCTGATGAGAAGAGAGAAATAAACAATAAAAATAGATTATATATGAATGCATTACTACGCATGCAAACTATTGAATACAATCAAAACCAATTTACTTGCAATTTAAGATGATAATATACATGAAGATGATCAGAGAACAAGAAACGATCATCATGATAACAGTAAATTAAAAAAAAATAAATCTTAGATGGGTGACAACCTATATCGCCGAAGTCATTGCACAAACGTATAATAAACAAAGATTTCGATCAATTAGCTGCTGGAGATGATGATTACAGAAAATGTAAACCCCATTTCTAATCAATAAACTTGCCCATATATGCAACCTAAACGTGTGTACGTTGGAGGGAAAGGAATTGCGAAATATTTTGAAGTTTCACTAATGAAAAAATCGTACTGTGCTAATTACCGCTAAATGTTTAGTAATTCAAATTTATAAAAGTAGTTCCAGATTGATAGATAGGGTATATACATATAGCTAACGTCAAGAAAGAACATATACTAACGAGGTGTTCATAGTATAATTTTAATTTAAAATTATAAACGAGGATTAAACATTAACAAACTATACATCTATATTATTTTATGTTTAAACCAAAATTTATATATAAAAGACGTACATGTCGTGTCAATATATATGGTAGTTGCTTATGGTGTCATGGAATCACCCATGGATGACATACGGGTCATTGGTCAACATGATAGTTTCTTATGGTGTCCATGGATGACATACGAGTCATTAGTCAACATGGTAGTTGCTTATGGTGTCCATGGATGACATGGATGACATACGTGTCATTGTTCAACATGGTAGCTGCTTGTAGTGTCCATGGATGACATACGGGTCATTGCTTAACATGGTAGTTGCTTATGGTGTCCATGGATGACATACGAGTCATTGGTGATCAACATGGTAATTACTTATGATGTCCATGGATGACATACGGGTCATTGGTCAACATGGTAGACATACAGGTTATTGGCCAACATGGTAGTTGCTTATGGTGTCCATGGATGACATACAGGTCATTAGTCAACATGGTAGTTGCTTATGGTGTAAGGGTATCACCCATGGATGACATATGGGTCATTGGTCAACATGGTCGTTGCTTATGGTGTCCATGGATGACATATGAGTCATTGGTCAACACTGTAGTTGCTTATGGTGTTCATGGATGACATACGCATCTTTGGTCAACATGGTAGCAGCTTATGGTGTCCATGGATGGCATACGGGTCATTGGTCAACATGGTAGTTGCTTATCATGTCCACGGATGACATACGGGTCATTGGTCAACATGGTAGTTGCTTATGGTGTGATGGTATCACCCATGGATGATATATGGGTCATTCGTCAACATGGTAGTTGCTTATGGTGTCCATGGATGGCATATGGGTCATTGGTCAACATGGAAGTTGCTTATGGTGTCCATGGATGAAATACGGGTCATTTGTCAACATGGTAGTTGCTTATGGTGTCTAAGGATGACATATGGGTCATTGGTCAACATGATAGTAGCTTATGGTATCCATGGATGACATACGGGTCATTGGTGATCAACATGGTAGTTGTTTATGGTGTCCATGGATGACATATGGGTCATTGGTCAACATGGTAGTTGCTTATGGTGTCCGTAGATGACATATGAGTCATTAGTCAACATGGTAGTTGCTTATGGTGTCCATGGATGACATACGGGTCATTGGTCAACATGGTAGTTGCTTATGGTGTGATGGTATCACCCATGGATGACATATGGGTCATTGGTCAACATGGTAGTTGCTTATGGTGTCCATGGATGACATATGGGTTATTGGTCAACATGGTAGTTGCTTATGGTGTCCATGGATGATATACGGGTCATTGGTCAACATGGTAGTTGCTTATGGTGGGATGGTATCACCCATGGATGACATATGGGTCATTGGTTAACATGGTAGTTGCTTATGGTGTCCATGGATGACATACGGGTCATTGATCAATATGGTAGTTGCTTATGGTGTCCATGGATGACATACAAGTTATTGGTCAACATGGTAGTTGCTTATGGTGTGATGGTATCACCCATGGATGACATATGGGTATTTGGTCAACATGGTAATTGCTTATGGTGCCCATGGATGACATATGGGTCATTGGTCAATATGGTAGTTGCTTATGGTGTCCATGTATAACATACGAGTCATTGGTCAACATGGTAGTTGCTTATGGTGTCCATGGATGACATACGAGTCATTGGTCAACATGGTAGTTGCTTATGGTGTCCATGGATGACATACGGGTTATTGGTGACCAACATGATAGTTGCTTATGGTGTCCATGGATGACATACGGGTCATTGGTCAACATGATAGTTGCTTATGGTGTCCATGGATGACATACGGGTCATTGGTCAATATGATAGTTGCTTATGGTGTGATGGTATCACTCATGGATGACATATAGGTCATTGGTCAAAATATATCATGTGTGCCGGTTGTGTATTAAAATAGAAATTGATTTTTCTAATAATTATGACTTTTGACATAACTACCCTTATTAATTAAATATGAGTCATTGTATGCATGAGGACAGTTTGGTCATTTTATAATGGAACATCTTCTAGGCGTCGTAATGTTTTTCGACGAAACACGTTGTTTCAGTTCTTCACTCTTATTTCAGTTACTTGCAAACAACCCCAATTTCAAAATTCCGACAGTCAAAAAACCCTAAAATCATTTTCGCAGAATCGTTTTCTTAGTGAAGGTTTATTATTATGGAAGCCAGTACTTCTTCGAAGATGCAATCACGAAATCAAAGGAAATCGCTAACAGACATGCCATTGGAAGTGATGGAGAAAATAATAGTTGACTTCGGAAAAATTTCAGCTGTCAAGGCTTTCAGGATGAAGAGTGTGTAAGTTTTCTCTTTGATCATTCTATTTCACAAGTGTATTTGAGTTGTCTTTACATTATGGAGCGAATATTGTGTTTCGTTTGCAGTTGTAGATTCTTTAATGAGGTAGGAAAAACAGATGAAGTATATAAACATATGGAGTTAGATAGATTACGATTTCGTGGTTGGTCTGACCAGAAACATGCAGTTGTCAACAAATGCATAGAGATGAGAAACCCAAATATTCTGTTTAGGAATGGATTGGTATGTTGATATATATATATATATATATATATATATATATATATATATATATATATATATATAAATGCATAGTATTAATTAATCTATTTCTTGTTTTGCATAACTTCAACTAGAAATTATGTATTTAATGCTTTTTTTCAGATGAAGTTATTTTTCTTAGAATCTGAACATGAAAGGAAAACGATGCTTGAAGAAACATCTGCATTGGGACATTTGGATTCAACATTTGTCCTGGGAACGATGTTGATGGCTGAAGGGAGACATAGGAAGCAGGAAGCTTTGGACATGTTGAACAATGCTTACTGCAGAGCAAAAGGTAAGTGGAATCTTAGAGCAACTTGTTCTAAGGTTCATCTCAACTTAAATAGGGAGGGGATGAAACATGTACACTTCCATGGCTTCTATATAACTTTTACAATCCATAAGTCTGTAATTAGTGTGTTAGACGCTTTTTTGAATGGACACAAATGGGTGTTTAGGTGTGAAATTTGTTTGTGGGATGCTTGTTTCGTTAGGTTTTCAAGGGAGTATGGTATAACTTATGAGTAGTTTGTTGATATGTACTTTCATATTATGACAATTAAGCTATGTACATTCTTTTGGTTTAATATACAAATATATAGTAATTTACTTGATAAGTAATTATTTGATGTTGTTACTTTATTAGTAAATATGTTGTGTTATTAATAAGGGACTAAAATAGTAAAAGTTTGGAATGGTGTTTGAATGTTTTTTGAATAATGTTTGAATAATGTGTTTTGCATTTTCATTATTAGTGTTTATATTATATTTTGATCATAGTTGTATGTAGCAAATTTTTAATATATATATATATATATATATATATATATATATATATATATATATATATATATATATTAATACATGAATATATACTAGCAATTTGGTGAAATTTTAATATAAATGTATTACGTTATGAATTATGATATATATGTTATTTTTGTCTTTTTCATTTTAATAATCAAAATTCCACTGTTACCTATCTATAAAAGGTTATAATATTTGAATAATTTGTTTTGACACAAATACCCTTAGTATTCACATATTTGGAATGATTTTAAGGGCAATTTGGTCTTTTTGCAATCTAAATCGTTAAGGCGCCATCTGTAACCCCTAAAAAATGAAGGGTAAAAAATTCATTTTTAATATAGCTACAACATTGATACCGTTTATTTCAAACATTTCAAACCATCATTAAGTAAAACATTTATCAGAGTTTATCCCAAAATCATTCCTTGAGGAAATCATAGGTGTCTGCACTGTGATCAATCTGAGCCCTTCCTTTCCAAATCGATGATACCTGAAACCAATAAACAAAACTGTAAGTACAACGCTTAGTGATTTCCCCAGAACATACCCCACACAATTCACATAACCACATAATCCACATTAGCTATAAAAGCTACATAAACCATATCAATCAAATAACCATATCAATAAAATAACCATATCCATCACATGCCCATATCAATCACATAACCATATGAATCACATAACCATGCATATAGACATACATGGATGCCGTGGGCTCCCCCCAGGGTCTTAATCCAGGATGTCATGGGCTCCCCCATGGTCTTCAATAAGAAAGCCACGGGAGCTCCACATGGTCTTACATCCAAATGTGATGTAAGAACTTGGTTCGGTTTGTAGCCATCACTAGAGTTAAGCGGGTTTGGTGATTGTTCGAGCATTGGTTGGTTGAGCTGTTCTTAATTGGGAGTGAATGACTGATGGAGTCGTGTTGGCGGATAGACCAGGACCACCTGTACCTGCTTCGTTTTTTAGTCTAGAGCTGGTTTTGTTTTCGATGAGGATTTTTCAGCACCGGTAAGTGGTGGGGGCGTATATGTTTCGGGTATTTGTAAATCTGTTCTAGAAGTATAGGTTTGTGCGGTTCGGGATATGAAGTTGAGTCATTATGGAAATGGTTTGGAGTGGTTTCTCCTTCCCGGGGGTTAGGCATCGATCAAGGTTTTCGGTTTCAGGCGTCACGATTGGACACTTGGGGGCTTAGAGCAAAGTTGGGGTTCATTCTTCGATAGGGCTTATGATTTCCACTATTTTGGGTTCGAAAGTAGTAAGGGTGGACGGTTATTGGAATGAGGTGACTTTACCAGTCATATTCTTGATTTAGGGATTTAGGTAGGATCGTTGGTTCAACAGAAGAGATAGTAAGAAATGGTTTGGAGGTCAAAATCTAATTTAAGTGGGGGAGAGTGGTAACACCCTGTTTCGGGTCATTTCATAATTCGGGGTCACGACCCAATGGTCAAATATCATAAGGTTTTAGGCATTGGTAACGAGAGGTTTAGACCCATTTGGATGTGGGTATTGTAGATTGTGTGATCCAAGAGTTCGGTTTATGCTTTGGAGTTAAAGGGTAAAATGGGAAAGTAGTGTTCAGACTTCTTTTATGAATTATGGATTCTAGTTCGATGTGATTTAAGTTAAAAGTAATTAGATAGGGTTGTAGAGCTCCTCAATACATTTCCATGGATATAAAGATCGTCGAAATCGGAGTTTAAATGAAGAAGTTATGATCGCTTGAAGTTTGGACGTGTTTAGGTTAAGTTGAGTACGTTGGGCGTATTAAGGCATCCTGAGTACGCTGTGCGTATTAAGAGTACGCAAGGCGTACGTTATCAGTGCCCAAACCCTTTTTTCTGGTATTAGTGGATATACGGGTGCTAGCAGTGCAGAAAAGGTATCGTGTCATAGTATTTCAAGGATCTTTGATTCAAGTGAGTCTTCTCCCGATGCTCGTGACTCGAACTCATCAATGTCGACTCACTAAATTATGTATGTAGGATGCTAGTTGTTTTTGTGACTCTTGCATATTTGTATGAGCCTGTGTGGTAGAATAGTTGTATTTGTAATGACCAACTGAGTCTAGATGTTATTATTATGTTATGTTGTTTATATGTGACTAAGACTATTGATAGTCTCCAGGGTTGCTGATAACCCACCGGGCGTATTGTTAGCCTACTGGGACTGCTGATAGTTTCCAGGGTTGATGATAACTCACTGGAAGTGCTGTTAGCTTAATGGGACTACTGATAGTCACCAGGGTTGCTGATAACCCATAACTGTTTATTTGTGATGTGCGGTGTGTGGTATTTTGGGGAACTCACTAAGCTTTGTGCTTATGATTTGTGGTTTACCCGTTTTAGGTTTTCTTATATTAAAGGAGGGGTACAACTCGATTGCATCGCATCGATGGGGGACTTGTGTACTTGATAACATTTAATGATACCCTGATAAATCTTTTAAGATCATGTAGTTATGAATTAAATAAATACTTAAAGTTTTAATTAAAAATTTTGGGTTGAAATATGGGATGTTACAAAAAAAAATAGTTATATATAACTATCTACAACATACGTACATCTTACCATCTCTAACATATATGCATGGATATGCAAAACTTAACCATATTGGCAAAGCCGGAAAAGTTGAACCTGTTTCAGCAACAGGATAGAATGGACTTGTTTCGGTCAATTATCAGTTCTGATTTCATTTCGGAAGAACCAATTACCAGTTTGACTTAAGATCATAAGTAGCGTTTGACACAGTGACCATCTTGAATTGGATTGAACGGGAATGGACCGAACAATTTGTATGTATATTGTTTGGTACACTATAACCAAGGGTTGATCGCACGAAATGGACCCTACTTAGAAGTGCGTCTCACCCCATATTTTACTAGAAAATCACCCACTAGATTTTAATTTTTCAAATTAACCCATTTTGGCAACCTATTTGACACCATTTTTTTTTGTTAAAACCACTAAATATATTTAAATTACAAAGTTATATATATTTTCTAGTTGGTTAAAATTTTTGTTTCTTTAATATTTATTAACTTATATATATACTAAAAAATTATAAATACATATAAAAATTCATAGTTTTTAATTCAAGTATAATATTTATATAAAGACAAAATTGCAAGTTTGGTACCTGTGGTATGTCAAAAATTGGATGTTTGGTCCAAAAAGTTTTGGGGTTGCACTGGTGGTCCAAAAGCTTTGATTTGTTGTGAAATTGGTCCAAAGGCTTAACAGCCGTCTACCCCCTCCGTCTGTGTGAGGGTATTTTTGTCAATTCACGCCCATTCCTTTGATATCTTATTAAATTAAACCCCCCTAACGTCTACTCTCCTTATTAATAGATCGGACGTATGTTCCATCTTTTCCCTAAATCGAAATCTCCTCCTCATCTTTTCCCTAAAATCAAAATCGTGTCTTCCAAACTCAAAATCAACAATGGTGAGGTGTTTCTGTGGTCAAAGGAAGAAAAATCAAAACTAAAGTTGTACATGATATGTAGCTGGGTTATTTTTGGAAGACACGATTGCCATTTGACCACAGAAACACCTTACCATTGTTGATTTTGAGTTTGGAAGACACGATTTTGATTTTAGGGAAAAGATGAGGAGGAGATTTCGATTTAGGGAAAAGATGGAACACACGTCCGATCTATTAATAAGGAGAGTAGATGTTAGGGGGGTTTAATTTAATAAGATATCAAAGGAATGGGCGTGAATTGACAAAAATACCCTCACACAGACGGAGGGGGTAGACGGCTGTTAAGCCTTTGGACCAATTCCACAACAAATCAAAGTTTTTGGACCACCGGTGCAACCCCAAAACTTTTTGGACCAACCATCCAATTTTTGACATACCACAGGGACCAAACTTGCAATTTTGTCTTATATAAAATACATTTTAAAAAATAAAAAATAAAAAATAAAGGTCGTAAAATGAAACTATTTCCTGTCTTTTGATGAGTGAAAGGAAAGTGAGGGTTGATGTAACACTAAAAAGTGAAAGATAAAAGGTGACCATACCTATGACCAAATGACAAACTTGAAACAACATTGTGTTAAGCTTGTATCATAAGGCGGTGTTTGGGATATCCTTTTATCTTCAAAAGTCCTTTTTGTAAAAGGGCTTTTTACAAAATGTGTTTTTAAAAATGTGTTTGGATTAGCTTTTGAGGGGAAAAAGTCAAAAGCTGTTTTTAAAAAGTGTTTGGTTTCACTTTTACATGTAAAATGACTAAAAAAGATATGCTTACATATTTACAATTATTTACTACTTTACATATACTATTTTATACTTAACAATTTTTTTTAAACACAATTATAATTTTGTAAACATTTTATTAGAAAATATAAAATATAAATTTCTTTTAAATATTCCTAATTTTTTTAATAGACCATGATAATATTAAAATTACGTTCATACGAATTGTAAATAATTTATAAAAAATATCATAGATAATATTACATTCATCTTCGCAATGTGATTATATCTTGTGCAATAATATATCGTATCGCTGCCATATATGGATCATCATCCCTCGTGCAACGTGTACTCGGACCTTCTTCGTAAACTTCACTACTAGTACCACCTCTTATGGGATTGTAGGATTATTGGTGTGCCCTATTAAACGCTTCATCAAACCTACCAACATTTCTAATGTAGTTATGGATCGCCATCGATGCTATCATAATTTTCACTTGGTTCTTGTACTTGTAATTAACATGCATGTCTCTTAATAATGCCCACCTAACTTTCCACACTCCAAAAGTTTGTTCAATGATATTTCGCAATGATAAGTGGAGATAGTTAAATTTCTCTTTTGGTCCACGAGGTTCACGAATAGCAGCCGTGTGTCCACGTCGAAAATCAGGTAAATGATAATTAATATTTGTGTCTTTGAATGGAGCAAGATACCCTCTAGTATTAGGATATCCGACATCAGCAACGTAATATTTATTTGTAAATAAAACAAACAAATTATTTTTTTTCGTTTCAAACAAGTAGTAAAAATATATAACTTGTGTTTCAAAAAATATACTAACCACCCGTTGTATATGGAAAATTAAGATCTGGTCTCTGTAAGGCTTCATTGAAAATTCTTGTGTCATGTGCAGTCCCCTCCCAACCGGCCCATACAAATGTAAAACCAGGGCCGGTCCAAACGTATATGAGGCCCGGGACGAAAAGAAAAAAATGGCCCCTTAAAGACAAATATAATAAAGATTCAAAAAAAACATTATTTATTTTTTACTATAAACGCGTTCAATTAGCAATAACAAGTATGCCAAATTGCTTCTTTTGAGCTAGTTTGATTTTGAACCAAGTTTAAGCCCTAAAAACCATTTAGGTAATAATTATATATATATATATATATATATATATATATATATATATATATATATATATATATATATATGTATATATATATATATATATATATGTATTACATAGCCCATAAATTTTGGACCTCCTGGTGACGTGGGCCCTGAGCGATCACCTGGGTTGCCCACCGTCTAGACCGAACCTGTGTAAAACACATGTTAAAATCACAAACAACCATTATATTTTGTAATGCATATCCCTTTCGACCAATGTAAAATACATAATGTCAAAGGACAACATATAATGTCAAAACATAAAACATAATGTCAAAGCATAACACATATTGCTAAATCATTATTTCGTAAGTAACTTAAGGAACTCCATCTTGGCTTCGTCAGTCATTGGAAACATAAAAGCTTCACGATTTTGCTTTTTGGTGAAGACAAGCAATGCTTGTGAAAATTCGTTGGACCCTTCACGAAAATCAGGAAACTTGATAACAATGGCCATGCAATCTGCTATTGTTGGGGAAGGATTATTTTGTGGATAATTTTGTGTGCTTTTTGTTGATAAGACATCCAATAAAGCATCTACTTTTTCTTCATAAATTGAAATTTTACTCTTGGTTGAACGGTTGTTGGAAACAAGCTTAGACCTTTTCTTTTTACTTGAACTACTTTCATGGAAACTAGGAAAAAGAGGCTCATCATCATCATCTAAATTGATATCATCACTATCTCATTTCCCTCCACATTTTCTTCGTTTGGATTGCTATTGTTTTGAAACTGTAATGGAGTCATAGTCTGATCTCCAATGGCAACAAAATCCCGAAACAAAAGAGCATATTTCTCATCAAATATGCTCAAACCTGCATTCCTAAATTTTGCATAATC